CTCGGCTCATTTGTTGGCAGAAAAACAAAGGGAAATGAAATCCACTCTCAAACAATAAGCTGAAAATCTATTGTGTCGCAACCGCGCGCACCGCGCCCAATAAATCATGTTATCACATTAAAAGAACCGCTCTTACTGGTAATTTCCAATTTCTAGGTGACTTCTCTGACAATGATGATGGAGTACACAAACAACAAGTAAGTGCTTCTTAGCTGCAGTATTCGAAGCTGTTTGTTTTCAACATGAGCTTCACATTCTATAACAGCATTTAATCTTGTGCAGATATTTTTAATTTATAATATTTACCCCAATTGTGAGTTGACTACTAGTGCGGTTATAGATCGCTTGGTGTTATCACATAGTGAAATGTTGCCTAATAGCTATCATGATACTCAAAGACAGCGCTACGACTGGCTCCCCAAAAAAGGGTCAATTTTGATTTTTTTTTCGTTGGTACTTTTTCGGAAATTTTCAACCCCATCCTCCTCTTCTACCGCCCTCCCACGACCAACAGCCTAGGGGAGTCTTAGTACTATCCCCGTTCCCATCCCCCCCCCCCACCATCTTCGCCATCACGGCCGTCTCTACAGTATTTGGCTCTGGGACCAGTCGACGCGTTCCAACTGCTTCCCACTGCTTTCCACCAAAATGGCCTTGAGGGTGAGGAGATGGGGAAAAGGAGGGTATTTAAATAATTCCCATCGACGAATCCTCTCACTTTGTCTGTTTTACAGTCGATATCCGAAAGTTGGGGTAGGCGTGTCACCGGAAGTGACGTGCACTTGATAGAAGTTGCGTGGATAAGCTGTTGCCAGCATGCTTTGCTGATATCAGCGATGTATGTTGGAAGCAGCTTATCCACATAGCTTCTATCAAGTGCACGTCACTTCCGGTGACACGCCTACCCCAACTTACGGATATCGAGTATACTCTCCCGAACTTTTTAACCAAAGAGCAGGAACTCCGTCAAACTCGACCCCCTCCAACTTTCACAAAAGCAAACCCATTGTCGA